AGAGAACGAGAGAGAGAGAGAAAGGCAGACAGAGAGAACAAGATAAACACACAGTGAGAGAAAGAAAGAGAGTAACAGAGAGATAGACAGAGAGGAATCGCTCCTCACGCACGCACGCACACACACACGCACGCACGCACGCACGCACGCGCGCGCGGTTTAGGAGTGTCGCAGGCGTCTGCTGCGCATGTAGGGCATCGGGCAGGCAGGCAGGCAGGGTAGTACACACGCGCTCACGCACACACGCACGCACGCACGCACGCGCGGTTCAGGAGTGTCGCAGGCGTCTGCTGCGCATGTAGGGCATCAGGCAGGCAGGCAGGCAGGCAGGCAGGCAGGCAGGGTAGTACACACGCGCTTACGCGTATGTGTGTGTGTGTGCGCTCGTGTGTGTACACGCGTATGTGTGCGCGCGTGTAAGGGAGCGAGATATACAGAGAGAGAGCGCGTCTGTGTTCGCGTGTCACCCACCGCACGCCAGGCTGCGTGTGTGGTACACGCACCCGCACACGCACACACACACACACAAACACATACACACACACACACACACACGCACACACGCACACACACACGACACTGGCCCATCACTGATCGCGCGCACGTGTGTGTGTGTGTTTATGTCAACCACCCGACGCTTTCACGCCGACAACGAACGATGACGACGTCGGCTGCGACGATGCAGCGACACTCCGGACGGTCGCCGTCGTCGTCATCGTCATCGTCATCATCGTCGGCAGCACCGTGAAAACGACCGTGACGTCGGCGACGAGATGACGTCATCGTTACGCGCGAAAAAGGACAACAAGAGTCACGCGAAGACGTCGGCTCTGACGTCACGATGCCTCGCCGTCGTCCTGCGTCCGCGCAAGCAGACGACGACGACGACGACGACGACGACAGCCGACCGCTCGTGGGACGGTGCCGCCACCTACCGGGAGTTCGTCGCCGCCAACTGCGAGGCGTACTGGAACGCCGAACTGGTCGCCAGCGCGACGGAGTGCGACTACCGCGGTCACGTGACGCCGTCGACGGTGTTCGTCGGCGGACCGGACGCGTGCCTGGACGCGCTGAGGAACGCGTGGGGGCGGCGCGTGCTCAAACCCCCGCCAGGTTACAACATCAGCAGCCTAGGTACGTACGTGTACGGTGCGGGGGTGGAGGGTGGGGGAGGAGGACGGGGGAGGAGAGCGTTGAAGGACGGTGGAGAGGAGGGTGGGGAAAGGTGAGGAAGGCTAGGGGAGAGTAGGGGATGAGGGAGGTTAGGAGGAAGGTGGGTCGGATGAGCGAGGGTAAGGTCGGGGTGGGGGAGGGTGTAGGAGTGTGATGGAGTAGGTATATACTAGATAGTAAGTACGCACAAGGTAATAGCCTAAATACGCACAACCTGTCGCCCCCTCGTCTTGCTGACCCTAATACTGACACTATAAGAACCCCCCTCCCCCACCCACCTCATAACTGGATTAGAAATCGAGTACTGACAAATAGAATCAGCTATTTGTGACTCAGTTGGTCACTCAACTGTAGGGGTGATGACTCACTCCCTCTGTCTGTCACCACTCATATCTCTGACCATAATGCTAATACTGGAAGAATCATGGATAAATAGATTAGATATACCCCCCCTCTCTCTCTCTCTCTCTCTCCATCTCGCTCTC